ATACCCAACCCATTTCAAACTCGAGATAATTCCGTGGCAGAATGAGTAGGCCACTAGAATATATTATTCCATGCGCGTATAGCTTTACGCTATTTGTGTGTAATATCAGAGCAATAAACTCAAGGACGATAAAAGGTATCCATCAATGTTTGATGCCGACTACATCAAGGAAATCGTAATGTGTTTGATAAGGTCATCATATGAACAAGCAGTTTACAGCAGGTGACGACTCAGGGAATATTACGTTTCGATTGTATGATTTCTTTTGCCTGGCAGTTTATTACTTTGGGGGAATACTAGAATTAGGTACCATACACGGAACCGTATGGTGATCGAACTAGGTGCCCGGATTGTCAGGATTAGAACTGGTTTCCAGCCTCCTATAACTGTCGCCGGAGACGACCCAACTGATAGATTGGTAGGACTCGTTGACATGTTTATTGGTAGGTCATCGGACTCCCATGGCATGTGCACTCGTGATGGTCAGGGTAAGAACTACCCTCATCAACCCATGCTTGTCAAAATAGGTGGTCAGGCTCACTGACTTAGCTGATGAAAGCCATCGTGTCCCACCATTAGACAATCGTAGTGCTATTTCCTTAATCCATAAAATGTAAAATAGCAATGAAAATTATTTGAATAGATCACTGAACATCAGTGATGACACCTGGTTCTACCGTCAGCTGCTACCTATCTGAATCCAAATCTTCGACCAAAAGAGACTTTACAATAGTTTTAAATGAGTTTATGAGCAATATTCCAGCCATATGGCGGTGGCCTGTAAATAACCGAGTCTGGGCCAGACAATCCAGTGATCAACAGCTTACGCATCGATCTACGCAATAGGGATACAATAACATGTGTCAACCAAGTCAGCGAGCCTGACCACCCGTTTCCGTTAGTCGCCTGTTACGACAAGCATGGGTTACTGAAGATCAATTCTAACCCAGATCTTCACGGGCCCATCTATTCGTTATGAACAAGAATTCCAGAGTTCAGATTGTATCCTTACACAGGTGTTGGATATCAGCTTACGTTAATCTAATAAAACAATTATACGAATCATGCAGGCAAGTACATAATTTCGAAAACTGATTTGTTCAGGACAAACGGAAACAGAATGATGCATAACTTAAGTAACAGTATACGTTCAAATGTAATTACTAGGTATCAGGTGTCCTATATCTGTACGTAACTGAACACTAGCAATTAGGTAATTGCGTCCAAAAGAACATTGCAATTGGTCGTGTTTGAATAATATTACGTTTTTCATTAATATTGCGTAAGGAATACCCACATAAACACATACTGCACCCATTTAAAGATTGATAATTCATCTATGTTTATATGATTGATTTTTTTGCATTTGTAACATTGCGTTATATCCAGTGTCACGTTTAGCTTTGATAACCAATATTATTTCATTAAGATTTAAATCCTTCATTTTTATCCACGCAGACTCGTCATATCCTCCATGAACCCTGACAGGAACATCTGATACTGCTGATAACGGTATTTTACACACGACTATCACACATTCATGCCCAAACCTATAACGTTCATTTTTGAATTTATATGGTGTGTTACACATTTGTGTGTTCATGTTCAAATGTGTGTCATACATATGTTACTGTAAGTACATTTACCGAAATATATTACCTCAAAATATTACAAAACCTAATTTTTTAAACCTATCCATATATGTAAATTCGCATAGTATTACCTTTACACCAAAACTTGAATACCTTTTCACACCTATGTCTAAATCTAGAAACCTTTGTATACGTTTATGGCTGAAGATAATACCTTCATGTACAAGGAAGACTAAATTTGATATAGTTTCAAATTCTTTCCATGTCCAAATTATATACCTTCACCAAATAAATGCTCTGTACATTTCAATTTAAATGCCTGCAAATAGATGTATGTCTAACTTTACAAAGCGTATCAGGGATAAAATTACTACTCTTTTTATAAATTGATAGCTAAATACCTTCATAAACATGAATGTCTAAATTTGCATACCTTTACATACGTTTTTTTAAAGTCTGAATTCATAAACCATAAGATATACTTAAATTCAAATGTGCATTCTCATAAAAACATACGTATATGTAGGTCTTCATTACATACACACTTACACATATTTATGCCTAAAATAAAAACAATTACTTAATTTTGATTAAATCGACAACCTCCACTTATATATATGTTACATAGATATCTTAGATTTCATTTTTGTCTGCATTAAGAAAACCTTACTTGTGTGTATAAACCTGCACACCGTTACATACTTTTTCGTCTATATTAACAAACCTTGACGTATGTTTAAATATACAATTTGATTACCATTTCATACACACGTCTGAATTTATATTCCTTGAAAAACGTGTGTATCAGTTACATAGACGTACATTCGTTAAGGGAACCGTATACGTTAACGTCCATACATTTACATAAATAGGCATATTTAAAATGACAAGCTAGACTACATCCTTCAGATGTCTATCATAAAACTTTGTGAAAGTTTTGCCGAGGCCATGAATGTTGTAACCTTGATAAAACAGCTTCGGGGCAAGAGTGGTAAGGCGCTCTTTGAAATCTTGGTAAAAGAGCATGCCCAATTGTTACCTCAAAAGTTGTGAAATGTAATCACCAAAGGATAGGGCTGTTGGAATATTGCTCGACATGAAAGGAAAGTTGACTTTTGGAAATCTATCCCTTTTGTCATACAGCCTTGTGGAGATTTTTTTGTCACTCTGAATCTTTATGCATAGATCTTATACTATTATTATTGTGAAAATACTAAATGGTTTCATTCCACGTGATGGCATCCCACCCAACGTGAAATTTCGGGCTATGTTTTGGGCAGTTCGAAAAAAGTCAGACAGAACTTTCATCATAAAAAAATACGTTATCCCAATCTTTATTTTCGTGAGCCCTACACCCGTTTACACGTCTTTCGTTTTGTGCATCTTTCATCAATGGTGAGGGAATTCCGCGCTTTTTCACCCAGTTACGTCTTTGTAATTCTTGCCTGAATTTCATTACATACCTGAGTACTTCCTCTATTATTCATCTCATTTCTGACATTTCAATTTTCCCCTACTCATTTATATCCAGTGTTCCAAGAAGATTTATGTTTTTTTCAAAACTTAAGTGCCTTGCGTGGTTTAAAACATATAATAATTCCGCCGGCGACCCTTAGTACTGTACTTCCTTGGCCTCCCTGTCCCTGTCTTGTGCTCAATCGCAACTCATGACTGAATATTCGTCAAAGTTCTGTATAATGTAGACAGAGGAATGTCATGTCTACCAGCTAAATTCTTTTGCATTAGTCACATCCCTTTCAAAATCACCTAGAACCAGCTTTCTATTCTCTTCTGTCATGTCAACTAAGGAAGACGTCTGCTACACCAGGGGGATAACTCTTGATGTAGTAAGGTTCATTCTTAAGCCTACAATTGTGGCCTCCCATATTGAGTAACTTACTACATAATGAAATACCTTTTTAAAATTCTATTATCAGTATTAGAAAACAAAGATTTTCTCACTAATGTCTGGGAAAACTGTATGTATATCTGTGTTCAGCACGTTTGTTTACAAATGCCCCATGGATCTTGGAATGGAGTTTTTCCTTAAGCTTCTCATGTGGGATAGCGGTATACAACGTTGAAAAATCAAATGTCTTGACAGAACAGAACTCGAATATAAGCAAATCCATTGAGCAATTTGACAATCCACATGGTGTTAATTCCGCTTGTCTCAAATGCTTTCTGTGAATATTGAGAAAGTCCTTCCTTGATAGTATTAGGGATAATAGTTAATCTTTGAGACAGGGATTTAGTGGTATATTTACTGGACCCAGCAATATATCTCTCTTTGTACGGATTTTTATGTAGCTTTGGAATACAGTACAAAAAAGAAGAAAATGACATGTCTTTAGGGTTTCAAAGTCAAGCCACGCGTTGATAGCACCGTTGAATGTTTTAGGCAGTTCTTTCTTGGTTAAAATACAGGCTTTATATGTGGCATTATTTTATATGTCACAGGAAAGGAACGGGAATTTATATCCAGTGTTCCAAGAAGATTTATGTTTTTCTCAAAACTTAAGTGCCTTGCGTGGTTTAAAACAAATAATAAGTTAATGTTGTTCCACCTCACAACACCCGATGTATGAAAACCTTCTTGAGCGGCTGCAAAATACCTCCAGAAAAATAGTCAAAGCTTCTGTATTTTGTAGCTCTATTTTTTCATGTTTAATATCGTCTTACACAGGAAAGTAACGGGAATTTCGGTGGAGTTTTGTGTTCCTCCCAAAACTTAAGTGCCTTGCATGTTTTAAAATATCTAAGAACTTAATGTTGCTCCACCTCACAACACCCTGTGTTCATCAGCATGTTCAAATGGTGTATCTTGCAAAGGAAATTTGATTTAACAGAATGGCATGTAACATTACTGAGGTACTGTTAAAACTGGTTATGCAATTATAAACTCGTGAAACCATTCACTTCACCACGTGCTCCGTTGAATCAGAAAGAAATAAGTCAGGACTGATAGGTTTTTATCAGCCTCGCAACTTCCATATTTTATTGAGATGATCCTGAAAGTTTTCAGGAGTTGTAAGTGTTAAGCTGTAACCTCTTCAAAACAGCAGCTGTATCTTAAACCAATGAAGTCCAAGGGCTTGCCCACTGAAGCTTTTTTTATGTTAATTTTTATTGAATCAATCCTGAAGATCTTCATAGGTTGAAAGTCGAACTGAAACTTCTCCAAGGGGCCATCTGCATCTTCAACTGAATGGACAAAGAAGCCTCTAAATATTCGCCTTTCTCGAGTTGATCCTGGAAGTCTTCTAAACATAACCAGATTCATTGTTCATTGTAGTCTCCATGTTTTTAATGCAACAAATTTTGTCTTCAGGATTGGAAAGGTTTGATACACAAGTATAATGACATCGGTATATTTACTTAAGACTTTAGGTAAAACAAACACCTATAAATGGGTAATTTCCTTATTTTAATTCATGACGATGATATCAAAAACTCATTACAAAATACGATCATTTAGAACAATTGAGCAGCAATGAATTATGCACTATTTTACACAAAATGTACAAAAATAACTACCAGTGATGATACTATAATGATGAACTTTACTGCAAATGTAAAAACTTAAATATGTTGTGACATTTCGCCACAATGGAATGGGATTTATTACAATTTATGCGTATAAGCAGTTTATTCTTGGATGCTATGTACAATGATAACTTTCACATGATAATGCATGGATTTGATATAATCAAAAGAAAAAGAATTAGCACAATAAATGGATTTAGCACTTCAGGGTATTTACAGGGGAAACCTCAGCACAGAATATGGGCACAGGCAAAGAGAACACTTGAACAATTAGGATAATATACTGTACATTCTGCAACATATCTCATGGAAATGCCCTAAAATAGAGTATGTACATGAACAGGGTTACAGGTGCCTTTTCTGTGCACTTAATAAAGCAATAACGACCCATTATATTGAGAATTTGACAGTATATAAACATCTGACAACAAAAATAACATTCATATATTAATAGTTTGGAATGTAAGCTTGGGGCTATACAGTAAACTTGTCACATAGAGCAATCATTTCCTCTATATGTCAGGTATGTGTCACAACTGCTTTGTTTCTGGTCCTGCAAGTTTCGTGTGGTTTGGTCCAAAAGCTTTCAAATGCATGACCATTTAAAGGAAATGCAACAAAAATTGAACATCATCTGTCAACGATCACTATCCTGTGGTTGTTGATGTGATCTATATTCTTTCGTCTTTATATTGGCGATTGCTGGGACAAACACACATACAAGGAATCAAAAAACAGAAATCTAACACATCTGTAGAATGCAAGGACATATGTATGTACGTTTGAATGTACATACCTATGCATCTATGATTACATGTATGTATATAACACACCCCTCAACACATATCACTCTATAATTGAATGGTATGTAAAACAGGCATTTGTGTTCTTTTCTGATGGGCTTAACAGACTTAGATAGAGAACAATCACCTTGACATGTTGCAAAAACTGTCATCCTTTCTTCAAGTGGGCTAAGGTTGAGGAAAACAAACATGTATCATGACATATTTTAATGGAAACCTGTTCCATCCTTTCCTCAATGTATGAGCTTTGTATGAAACTAGATCAGCATGTTTTCAGCTTTTACACTTATAGTCCTTGCTTTCAAGGTCACACAGTCACACATGTGTTATCCCAGATTTAAAATTCAGCATTAGTCCACATGAACACCCAAGATGTGGACGATGTTTTGGGCATAAGATATAAAATAGGAACCACATCAGAATATCAATGTCTATATACATGTGAAATAACATGCTCAATTGCTGAATTGCTGAAAAACAAATACCAATTGGATTGAAATATATGTATCAATGTATTATACTATGACATTGATTTGATTGTACTGATATCAGACATCCTTAAACCTCCATACATGTCTCCATACTTCACTGGATTATCAGATGTAGAAGTGAAGTAGAAAGTTTCCAAACTGATTCCAATGTTGGCACCTTTGGATAAATTAATTACATCTATAATTAGAATTAAATACCTCTTTTATTATATGGCTTTCACTACAAGATCACTTTTTTCAAGAACAGTATATATTATAGAGATAACTGTCTCAATATTTCAACATTCTATGTTCAAAATAATACTGCAACATATTGAATAAAATAACTATCAAGAAACAAAACATTATGCTTTCTCTAACATGAAAGAGTAATACTTAATAGATAATAAACAAAATAACAACAAATCTTTTATCACACTGCTACAATGACCTGTTAGTTCAAAATAACTGTGTTGTGGCATCTGCAGAATTTCAAATAAATTTATCTTTGAAATAAAAAACATTTGCAAATCAGGAATTTTTAAAGATCATATGACATAAATAAAATCTGAAAATAAGAAACTGACTTTGCATTAAACATGTTTGAATAATTGCTAAAAGTTATGCCCCATAAAATCAGGTAAAAGTGTAACAACTACAAAACACAAATATACCTGTGCATACATAGAAAAGGGTATGAACAATCAACAGTTAACATGATTTGGTATTTATAAACAGTTTTATAGAACAAAATTTCTCCACTCAGACATTCTAGCTAAAACTTCATATAAGGCATCACATTACAGTCATTTTAGATTGCATAATACGCATAGAGTAATATTCTGCCTCATTTCGTTGCTTAGTACATACTTTTCTATTCTAATCTAACCTCTACAATAAATAAATACAATGTCATAAAACATACAAAAAATAAGGCAAGAAGCTAAGAGCAATGCCCACAATTTAATAGAAAATAAGAAAATAAATCTGCATAATTTGAAATAGCCTGGCTGCCTTAAAAGCGTAATATAAGGGTAAAGAAATTATACAGAATATAACTGATCCTTCAGAGTTCAATAATGATATAGTTATCCTATAAGTTGTGAACATAATTACCTTAAGAATACAACGATATCATACATTGTTTTATCACATTCTCAGTGAGAGAAAATATGTTGGCCAATATCTTTCTTGTTTGATATATTGTTTACCCAGTCTAAAGTTCAGGAAGCAAGCAATACATGAATGATAAACTACCCTAAAATGTATTTAAAATGTGGGAAACACTTTAGAATAAGAACCACATTCCGTGATTGAATTATATCTAATGAAATTATCTCCGTATACCATACATCTTAAAGAGATCAATTATACCATGAATTAAAGTTAGATACAAGTCCTCATGCCATCAAAATGTCAATGTCAACACTGAACCCTTGTATACTTTAACAGACATTTGACAAAACTAATATCGCAAAAGTATGTCAAATCTTACCAAGAGAAAACAGTCCATGCTCACTTTTACAAAGACCGAAGGACTTTTAGAGTAGGAGTAATACTAGTATCTAAATAATTGAAAACCATTTGCCTTGACTGTTGAAATTTCTAATTATTGTTCTGCATCCTTTCCCAATTAACAATTTTATTCACTGGTAAAATGCATTTTAGCTTTGCTACATATATCGTGACTTTGATGTTACTTCTAAATAATGTTATTCTATTTAGACATTCGAAATGTCACTCAAATCAAGCTGACTATCTTTTGGTATGATAATGACATGATATAACTTAATTATTTACATACAACATTCCAAAGCATGGTTCAAACATGTAAGATATAATCAAATGTTCCTGATTCTAAGAATATGAACATTTGCACACCATCATAATCTAAATTTCACATAACATCCATTCTCACGTCATACATTTCACAAGTAAGTGCTATATTTACAAAGTCAACATTTAAGTGTAGTGTGTGTATTTCATACAATTTCATAAAATTCACAGGATACCAAATATAATCTAGTTCCAATTCTAAAACCTAACTTGTGATAATTCATATAAATTTGAACTAAATGAATCAACACAACCACCACCAAACTAAGCATTTCCCAGTGGTAAACATCATAGAAAACCACCCAGATGATTTCACCGAGTGACATGGCAAGGCACTAATCTCAGGATGATTGACATGTGACATATAGAAGTCATTTCATTGTAACTATAATTGTCCAGGAAGTCCGGCTTTGATGGGCTTACACTCCGGACCATGTCGCTTCCAATGATTGTTCTGAAATAATGTAAATAGACATTAAGCCTTGCAAATGTATTTTCTTCATTCAACAGTTTTTTAGATCTAAATGTCAGGAAAAATATATAAGTAAATTGGTTGAGGAATGTCAAATAGAGCCAGGAAGGGACTGCAATGCTGCATGATTGTAACTGCTGTAAACAGTACTGCAGTTATGTGACATATTGTTAGCATAAACTGGAGAAAATAATTTCAGTGAACCTTCAAGACAAAACCTTTACACATTCATAAGAAATCTCTGCCAAAAGCAGAGTCGATTGTACAATTGTGACTATATCATGAACAGATATTTGTTTCAGCAGTATTACAGCTGTATGATGTTGTTTGTAAACAAATTGGGTCTGAACCAGACAATCCAGTGATTGTCACCATGCGATACAATGACAGAGCATGTGTTTATGAATCACTATGAAATAGTGATGATACCAGGTGTTCGCTAAGAAGGTCAGAGTATCCTGCCCCACCGGTGGCACCCGTTATATATATATGCTAAGTCTAGTCATTAGTTCACTGAAGTAATTCGGGAACATATGGTATATGTCAAAATAGGGATTGTATCGGACATAACTTTGGTCACTTTTTGTCCATGCAAGTCTAGAATATGTGGCAAGTCTAGATTTCCACAGTTTTTGAAAATGAAGAAAGTTTCTGGGCTCCTTTTCATTATATTTATGTTGTTTTTTTACGACAGTTTATTTTCTGTAAAATATGTTCATTTCAGAGACTATATGAGTCTATAGTTAGTGCTGACAAACCAAAGATTATAACTAGGGTAAATCTTGGATCTTAACCAATTTAAGGGATGCAACTATTAACATATTCTGCATGCACCTTGTACAACTATGCAAACTAGGCCTCCTGCAATTCCCCAAAAGGTTACAGTGTGTAAAGCCCAAATCAGGTGTCTTCTGTCATGTGACCCGTGAAGATCTGGGTTAGAATTGATCTTCAGTAACCCATGTTTGTCGTAAGATGGTGACTAATTGGATCATGTGGTCAGGCTCGCTGATTTGGTTGACACATGTCATTGGCTCACAATTGCGTAGATCAATGCTCATGCTGTTGATCACCGGATTGTCTGGTCCAGACTCAATTATTTACAGACTGCCGCCATATAGCTGGAATATTGCTGAGTTTGGCATAAAACTTAACTCACTCACTCTTCTGTCATGATATTGTTAGAACAGTCCCAAAAGTGGCATTTTAGACATAACCTAAAACATTCCTTGAGTGAAGTTGAGAACTTTCGAAAAACCTGAACTCTGACATATAAAACAGCATGATGAATTATATATAGGGTTTTATTTTTCATATAATGATTTATATTGGTCACATGCTCTTAGGATAAAATGCACACTTAAGGTCATGTTTTTTCAAGATCACACATTTTCAGGATACTTTTACGAAAGATGTATTGGCAAGAGGCAACTAAAAGCAAATGGATTGTGATGGATAGAATAAAGGAATGAATAATCCTTAATGTCACCAGAAGATTACACACAATTGATCAGACAGAATCTAAACGCAATTTATCAATGGTAAGTAGAATACAGTCCTCCATACATGACACTATCCTTCTATCCTTGTACACTTTCAATATACATAAGTTATATTTCTATGGCAGCAATAGGAACATGTTTGCCTGAAAGGTCTAAGAATTTATCTCTAGAAACCATATGATCATATGAACTTACTTGGATATGATCAATAAATGTGAAGAAAAGGTGGATGCAGCTGAAAATGTCTCAGAGCAGCAATTCAGTGCTTGACCATGATCAGAATGGGGATAGTGTCACCATGTAGGGTAGTATCACACATGACCAGAAAACTGATTTGGTTATTGAAAATTGAGATTTGACAGGTCAGTCATATGTTGATGAAACCTTGCATAGTTCAGTTCATTAGGATTATGAGCAGACATTTTCAACTGCAAATAGACAGTATCAGATCACATCACATACTAACAAAGGACTTGCCAAGCTCTGACATCTTCCTAATAGAGTAGGTTACTGGCATCTCTTAACCACAAATCTAACCCAGAAACAACATGGGCATTTGGGCCAGTAAGGTACTCTATACAGCAAGTATTTATTATCGTATTATCTGTCCTGTTCATAAGTGAACAACCTTAAGCATGATTTTGTTTGGTTGTTGTTTAACCCCGCACTCAGCAATATTCCAGCTATATGGTGATATCATGAGCATTGATCTACACAATTGTGATGCGATGACATGTGTCAACCAAGTCAGCGAGCCTGACCACCCGATCCCGTTAGTCGCCTCTTATGACAAGCATGAGTTACTTAAGACCAAGTCTAACCAGGATATTCAAGCATGATGGTCAGAACTAACAAAACATGTTTTTCTACCTACCTGACATGTCTGGCTACAGTACCACACCATTCGACAACTTGAGCACAGATACATGGCCAAAGAACCACACACTACACAGGAACCATTAAACTGATGAAGTCTTGGAGGAGGCTGTGTCATTGCCACCTGTTGCATTCTTCTCTGGTTATCTTGTTCCTGAAACTAAAAACGAACAACATATCCAGAAAAATGGTTGTCTGTGCACTGAAACCAGGAACCAAACCTTCATGAAAGTATTCTGTTCACAAAATCGTATTTCTGTTCACAAAGACATTACCAATGTTCATCACTTATAAATCAATTCAAAGAATTGATGATGTTATTTATTTACCTCTATTAATGCTGGTGCAGCACCTTGCCCAGGTGCTAGCATTCCTGATTCACGGGGATATCCTTGCTGCATTGTCTGTTGCATTTTTGCCTGCATAGGTCCTGGCACAGGGCCTGAGCCTGGAGCAGGTCCACGTTGCATCATCCTCATATTATGCAATGCTGCTCTCATGTGCATGCTGTGTTCCTGATTCTGTGATGAAGGTGCCATTGCATAGTTTGAGCCACCACTTTGAGATAATGGTGGTACCCCTGCTTGCATGGCATGAGAAGGTCCACTAGATGACATGGCAGGGTTAGCACCCTTCTGGGACATTGGGTATTTCTGTGCTTGGGAATAGTGTTGCCATTGACTCTTGCGAGCCATCATCATCATGTGCTGCTGCTTCTCAATGGACATTGGTACATTGGAAACTGACGTTGGCACTTGAGGCCTCCATGCCACAGGTTGCTGAGGAGGTTTGTATTGATTTGTCATTGCTGGGCCACCTCTATTTAAGTGATCAGCATAAGATGATTGTGGTTGTTGATGTGGAACTTGGCCAGGCATAATAGAACCTTTCTCTGGCATCCTCTGGTAGCTTTCAACCATTTGAGAAGCCTTCTCCGTAGTTCTTTGCTGGTATTGTGGTGTTGCATAAGAGGGAGCTTGTGTTGAGGTATTCATTGCGTAATTAGGTGCAGACATCATTGGTTTTGGCCCTGATGACAACAATGCTGATTTCACACTTGTTGGTTCCTGCATCCTATATTGAGCTCCTGCTGTTGATTGCCTATTTTGCATAGAGGCATATGGTGCATCTGTCAGTGATGACATTGGATTACCAGCATGAGCATGTCCTTGATGAGGATACAAAGAACTTGAATGCTGTCCTTGAGGCACTCCTTGGGGACTAACAGGGTTGTGGACAGGATACGGTTTTGGACCATAATGTGCAATATTGGGTATATTGTCCCTTCTAACCATTTGCTGTGGCTGTGGCTGTGGCTGTGGCTGTTGATCAAAACCTGTCCCCTGTCTCCTGGCTAAAGCTGCTGTTAATTCTCGCTGGACAGTACTCTCAGTCTCATCTTTTGGGCCACTTGGAGGTTCATTTCCTCCAGATATGTGCTGATTCCCTGGTATATGTCTCTGCATATCCGGTTTAGATATCTGTGGCTCCTTTGTCAAGTCAATAACCTCCATTCCCCTATCAGGTCTGATACCATGCACAATTTGCGGCCTGACATGAGCTGACTGGTGAATACTGTGAATTGCTGTGGGTCTCATTGGTTGATTTCCTGGATAGCCTTGATGAGATGTATACATTTGATTTTGAGACATTGGATTGGGCATTCGTGGGGACCACTGCTGCTGTTGAACACTACCATGATCCACAACAAAAGCACCAGGATGCATGTTACCCATCATTCTGTCTCCGGGGGCATTGTATGACACAGGCTGATCATGAGGAACATGAGCAACATTGTAATTGGACTCTGACGAGTTCCTGGATTTTGAATTATGATCAGTTTGGATTTCATTTACTGTTGGGCCCCTGTGGACTCCAGATACTGGATGTGGTTGATGTAAAGCTGAAGAGTGATGTCCTGGTGCTGCAGTGTTTCCTGGACCATGTGAATTAGGAGGAAGGAAAGATGGAGGGATTTGGTCCTGAGGAGCATTTTTTTGCTGGAACTATCAAGCTACCTGCAGTTTGGAAAGGTGGCTGGGAGTGGGCCGGAACCAAAGATGCAGAGGAAAGGGCACATCTATTCAGAGAACTGGGTGGTTCATGAATAGGTGTTTTCCGTTTCATAAGGAGAGCGGGTTATTTCTGAACTAGGAACATCACTATCATGAATTACTATAACATCTGATTTATTCTGATGTGCTGGAGTTGGAACTGCATTAGACCCTGGTGGTCCTGTCCTCTGTTCTTCACTCATTCGTCTCTGCTTACTGCGGGTTCTCTGCAACATGGCAAGATTTATCATTTCTACAATAGGTCTTCGATCTTCTGAACTAATTCCTCTCTTCCTGTGTCCAGCACCAACCAGATTCAGTGGTGCCGTGCTCAAGTTGCTGCTTGGACTTGTAGCCGTGTGAGATAAAGGTGCAGGAACTGAATATACTGGGTGAGTATTTTGTTGACCAGGTGCTGTTTTCTGAAAACCTGCCATACCTTGTGGTGTTCCTTGAAAAGGCCTAAGTTCAGCTACCTGTGCTCTGTGTTGAGTATTTGAGGCAGGAGGTTTGAATATTTGACCTTGCAGATGTGAAGGGTTTTCATTTTCATGTGGAGTGTTTTGTTGACTCTTTAACATTTTCATTTCTCTCAACAACATTGCCTTTCGTTTTTTCATCTGAAGAAGCTCTTCTCTCTCTCGTTCTTTCTTGGCAGCTAATATCTCAAGCTGTTTGAACTCCCTAAAGTGTTTTTCAAATTCTTTATCTAAATCCTTTCCTCCCATGTTCCTTGGTGGGTGATCATGTCTTGGAAATGGGGGCTTGGGGTGTTGGCCCCCATGAGCAGGGATAAGACCAGGAACAGGTCCTGGCATGTGTGAAGCTGGATGAATTATTGTAGACCCTGTTGGTCTTGACATTGAATGAGCCTCTAGTCCTGAGCTATTGGAAGCAAAAGGGGGCCCATAAAGAGGTGGTACAACAGTGCTAATGCCTGAATTAGACTTTGAAAGTGGCAATGGACTTGTGGTAGACGGCAGTTCAGTATTATCAACTTGAGGACCTACAAGCTGACCTACAGGAACTTGACTGGATGGAGGCACTGCAAGAGTCTGACTTTGTTGAGACAGTTGATCATTATCTGTTGTCTGTTGTACTGCACTAGATTGCAGCTGAGTTCCAACAGGCATAACAATCCCTCTTGCCATCTCTGCCAGAGACACAGGAGTTTGTGAATCAGCTTGTGTCAAATTCAGAGCTTCCTCTGTTAGTGTCTTTGTCTCCTTTGAGGTGGTATTACTTTCAGGGGGCTCAGTAACAACCGTCTGGAGAATATCTTTTGTTTCCTTGACCAGTGCAGGTTCAGTTGACACAGGCCGGGCTGGTTGCTGAACTTGAGGAAGGACCATCTGGACCGGAGGAGCTTTAGGCCTTGTACATCCTCCACCTGGTTTATCTGAGAAAGGCAAAGAATATCATTTATTGTTTATTTAGTATAACATATGTTGCTGTACAAACAATTACCTATTCATACATAGATTTAGGCCAGATGTGGGTTTACATAAGCTCTTTCCATAATCATCTTTACATCATATGCAGCTGTGCAGGAAATATATTATTCCTATAATACATGTTGAATACATCAAGATTATGTGAATGTTTTCTTCATGGTTCTGGCAATAGTCATGAGTGGAAGGTAATCGCATACCATTTTTCCTCACACAGAGATCTAGTGGCAGTCCAGTTGGCTTGGATTCTGTTGTATCGCTGAAAGTGTAGAAAGTAGAATGACACTAACATAAGAATGTACACTCCATGAAATGTTCTTTTGGGGGGATGAAAGGATTTTGAAGGTTTCAGTTCTTATCAGATACATCATTTTCACAGATGAAGACAGTAAGTCTCACACCATATGTTGAGAGCAAGGATCTGAAAGATCCAGACATTTGTTTGTTACTGAATATTTCTAATGTACAAATAATATATCTTTAGTTAAAGGTATTCTAAGTTAAGAGTGCTAAAATGATGGTCATCCCATCATCTCCATGAAACAAACCAGAATCCACATGGAGTCTTAAATTAACGTGTTTCCATAGAACATGTTTCCAACAACATAATGTTCGTACATAGTAAAGGTACCAGTTTCATGATGTCTCTGTTCAGGAAACAGACCCTGCTCCTAATCTTACTAAAAACTGCATATTTTGCCATAGGAAAGGCAAAAATATATTAAGCCACAAGTAGCAAAATAATATAGAAAAAGCTGGTTCATCAACTGGTTGAACAAATGCCAAGTTCTGCTCTTAATGTTTCCGTTAAACAAGAAAACTAGAGAAATAATATACTATCTCTAGATAACACATGGAAACAGTTCAGTAGCTTATTGATAAGCTAAAGTTTAAAAGAGTAAAGAGTGTTTGAGTTCATCTCAAGAAGATATCGGAACAGACAGACAGTTGATGGTTTCATCATATTTCATCTCTCTTGCTGAATCACCAAGAAACATTTTTGCAGACAATAGGGCCAACTGCGAAAACCTAGTTCAATAAACCTCATTAATAACGTGTTGAAAGAAAAAACATTTTTAAATGACATGTAAAATAAATTCTATTTTTGACATAAAAATTTTAAAACCATGTGCAAAACCTTTTCCCATATTACCAGTAGCATAATCCTACAATATGATAAAATAAGAACTAAAAATAAACCAGGGCATCCCTATTTAGACAAAGCTTTCAAATCCTAAAATAATGAAAGACATATATCGCGATCTAGTGTTCATTCCAGCATTTTTGAAAAGTGAGCCATGACCCACCAGACCCATTAATGTGGGTCATTTAGAAAATATTGTGGTTTGACTTTTTAGCCATATGTTACAAGTTACTAGTATGAGTTCACTTCCTTTTTTAAACTTTCAATCCAGGTGAGGTAAACAAGAGAAACCATTTTTCAACACATTAATAACCAGTTAACATCAAAAAGTATTTGAAAAATATGAATGAATAATCAAACTATAAATGAACCCAATCTCTATGTTGATTGACAATTTAACTGAACATTCCAATACTGATTGAACAGATTTCTTAATCTACCTAACACTAAGTCTGAGTATTCAACCTTAAACTCAAAGTCAAATGGATAGGTTTTAAGATTCTTGTGCTTGTATACAAAGCTTTTCACGGTATTTGCCCATCATACATCAATGAACTGATCCAGTGCCATCAACCCTCCCGTTCCCTAACGTTCTAGTAGTGCCCAGTTACTAGTTGTGCCACGTACAAGGACAAAGACATTTGGAGACAGACGTTTCTCAAAAGCAGGTCCTATGCTTTGGAACAACATCCCATTGGGCATTAAAAGTGCAGAGAAAATCTGTGCATTTAAGAGAATGTTGAAAACATTCTTTTTCAAATCATGTTACAGTTCCGAGTGACTCTTTCCTTGTCAGACTCATACGAAAGCGCCTTTGAGCAGGACTCATCTGGATATTGGCGCGCTATATAAATCTCTCTATCTTATTATTATTATTAAACTGAAAACAACTGGACACTTCAACAATGAACAGTGATCCTTATGATTATGATCAGTATGTCAGTGACATACATTTATATTGCCGGATTTTGTTTTAGGTTAATCTTATCTTTAACAATTATTGTTGTTAACGAATGTTTAAGTGAGTGAGTGTGATAAGATTATAAGTCATATCAGCAATATTTCAGCCATATTGTGACTAAAACTAGTTCTAAATACATGATAGATACAGAGTTGTATCATAAAAACCTGTTAACATAGGACTGTAAAAACCACTAGAAGATCACAGATATGAATATAAAACTAGTTTGTAATTCTAAATATTTTTTACTATTAATATAATACAAATTAAAAACAGGCTATAGATTGCCAACAACTGAAGGTAGATCACCATACTGGTTGGAAATTCTCAACCTTAACTTAACCATATACCCCAGAACTCCAGATAAGATTTAGCTCATGTGGGTACTGTACCCACTGTATTTTTTTGGAGTGGGTATTATGAATATTAAGTGGGTATTTCATTTTCCGTTACCCACTGCTTTCAAATATGTGCGTATTTCAGTCATTTTACTCATCTAAGTATTATGTCATTGAGTAAGTTTACTAAGCAGGTATGTTCTGCCTTATGTCATACCTAATCAAAACCAATTTAAATATAATGGAAATGATTTCATAAGAAATCACTTATCCTATACCTGACAGTACAACACTTGTCCTATACTAACAGTACAACTTGATAGCAATCGACGTCTTTTTCATTATGCAAGCGATTTATATAAATATATTCCGAATGCATTTGTTTTAAACTTTTTGCGTATCTAACATTTTAAATGCGTAATTGGTATGCAACAATTATTTTTCAATGCGTAAAAGGTAATTGGAAATTTGATATGCGTATTTGACCCAGATACGCAGCTTATCTGGGCCTCTGTACCCCATAAACATTTATTTGTTGAGTAATGCACATCTTATGATGTGCTGCTCATTTGAATGATAGCTACTGGCAAAGATGGGACCACATATTTTTAAACAAAAAAACAGGCACATGTTCATTGCTTTTTCCTGAAAAAATGTAAGACGGTCAGACAAACATTGGCGATTTACAGTTGATGTGTACCCCATGGCAACACAAGTGTGAAACTTTAACATGCAAACCGATTGGTTCACTTAACAAAACTGACCTATCCCAACCAATTTTACTAACTTACTAAGCGCCTTGGTTTTTCTTATTACACTGAATTGCAGGTTTTGTGCAATCTTTCTAAACACGGGTTGAAAGTCAGAGTTCAGAGTACATAAATCTTGTATTGTTGTTTTCCAAAGACATACTTAAGTTTTGCTTGAGTTGCAAACTTGTGATGCGTTTCAGACATACATTTATGGACATCCCACCATTGCCTGTACAGTGCGCCATGTTAAATATTAGTGCGCAAATGGCGCAAGGGCGCAGCCTAGAATGTTCACTGCATATAATTGCTGAAATATTGTCATAGCTTTGAAAGTGATCTTGAGTGTCAGAGTGGCATGGGGTGTCTATCATATAAGGCACAGTGATTTTCGGTCCTAAATCTAGAAATCAATTGCATGTGTTTCTAAGTCTGTTAGAACCACCAAATTGTAAGACTTTCCACACTTCATGATATACTCCCGCATCAACTGACTGAGTTTGTTCAAAATTTCCTCTGTTCACTCAGCGATGAACAATGGAATAAGTCATGAGACTTAACCTTCTAACATCTCACAGGCAGGTTGGGTTTTTGCGCTTTGAGCAGGATACGATGCCTGGAAAGCCTGTCCAAAATAGTGAAAAGGCTAACTCCTTCACACAGTTATCTGTCATATATAAATAATGTCTACATCTCACAGCAACTGCTGCAGCCAGGGTACTGGATGGAGACATGAACCATGCTGTCTTATTAAGGCTATACAAGATTACAAGAAACATTTTGCAAGAAAGATTCGGGTATTACCTGTTTAATGTGCTATTATCCACTGTTGGCTGACTTTCTGGTGTAGACTCTAAAGCAGATGAAAGTTCAGGTGATGAAGATTTCTTCACTACTCCAGCCTGTGTATTATCTTCCTTACCACTTTTATGGTCTGATTCCGAAGTATCAATGACTGATCGATCTTTTTCTGTTCCTGCTTCATCAATGACCAAATCTCCACCTTCTGTTTCTTCAGCACCAACAATCTTCAATGCTTCATGTAAGCTGAAGGAGTTCTTGTCATTTGACCCATCAGTAGCAGTTGGATGGTGTGCTTTTCTTTCTCCATCCTCAGGAGAACTAGTGCTTGGTTCTGCAGCAGGAGCTACAGGACTTCCAACATTGATGGAACTTGGATGATCCTCATGTCGGTCATCTATAGGATCAGAGTCTTGTGTGTGGGGGTTCTCTGTCTGAGCTGGTTCAGAGCTTGGTTGTGTATCACTTCCATGTGTGGGACTTTGATGTACAGTATTTGCTGCAACCAACTCCTCTTCTGAAGGGGAGCAGGTAGTCTGCTGCTGTAACTGGTTAATCTTATGTTCCAGCCAATTATGGCGAGGGAACTCACGCATGATACGTTCAGAGCTGTTCCCCTTTCCTCCAACTGTGTTTTGCATCATCATAAGAGGGTTCCCATTCTTCTGTAGGCGCCGCCTCTTGGGAGGGAGAATTGTAGGAAGCTCATCTGAATCTGCAAAAGAAGAAACATGATTTGTATACAAAGTTTCACCAAACATGCCTTCTTTGTTTGGACAATATTTCAAGTATTTAGTATTGCTGGAATTTTCAATTTAAAAAAAAACATATCATGTAACTCAGTTGCCATTTCTGTTCAAGTAGGCACACTGTGAAACAGGCTTTTCTCAAATTTATGGGCTACTAAACCTATTCATAAGAAACATAACTATCCACAGGCTATAGCTTGTTACAAGACTGTAGGCATTATGGGATGTAGGGGGTCAGTCTGGTAGCCTACTGGTTAAAGCGTCCACCCGCGACACGCCGAAGACATGGTTTCGGATCCCCACATGAGTACAATGTGTGAAGTCCATTTCTGGTGTCCCCCGCCATTTTATTGCTGGAGTATTGCTAAATGCAGCATAAAACCAAACTCGCTCTCTCACTATGGGATGTAGGCAAAATGAGAACATATCAATAAACTCTGTTTCAAACATAACATGTTAGGTGTGACTATTGAGGGGGAAACAACTATTGCGATAGCAATAGTCTATTGCAACATACTATTGCAATAATGATAGTCTATTGTGACCAACTATTGCAATACAACAGTTTTTTTACTCCTTGAATTGTCTCATTTGAAGTCATTTCCCAAATGAAATAAAAACAAGTTAAAGTAGTTTCAGTCTCTAAATAACTGATAAGAAACTTCATCAAGTAAACAGTTAATGCATAAACTTATTGTTATTCACAATTTCAAACTTGAGTCGCATGCAGTGTTTGTCTCCATGTTTGTTTAAGTGAGTGAGTGAGTGAGTGAGTGAGTTTAGTTTCATGCCAGGCTCAGCAATATTCCAGCTATATGGCAGCAGTCTGTAAACAATCAAGTCTGGACCAGACAATCCAGTGATCAACAGCATGAGCATTGATCTGCGCAATTGGGAACCGATGACATGTGTCAAGCAAGTCAGCGAGATTGACCACCCGATCCCATTAGTCGCCTCTTACAACAAGCATGGGTTACTGAACATCAATATTCTAACCCAGACCATCACAGGTTTGTTTGTTTAAGGTGAGGTGAGGTGAAATTGGGTTTAATGTCGTGCTTGAGAATATTTCGCTCATATGACGACGTGCATGCATGTGTATGTGTATGTGCGACTGCCTGTTCTAGCCCAGACTTCAGCTGGTTTTATAGTGCTAGCCCACTGAGATACCATGCCGCAGTGAAGCATGAATACCCCACTCAGACACGTTATACTGACTCCGAGCCGACCAGTCCTTGTTGGACCCATTAATGCTGAGCGCCAGGCAGGGACCAACAAGTACCATATTTTAATGTCTTTTGGTATGATACGGTCGGGGATCGAACCTGCGACCTTCCGCTCTCTGGGCGGACGCTCTAACCACTACACCACTGTTTGTTTAAGAGGTAAATGGGGTGGATAACTCAAAGTAAACGAATCTGGTACTTCCTGTATTTTACACTGCACATTTATCAACAGAATTCAATTACTAAACTATCGATAGTCACACATACTATCGATACACTGTTTCGTTTCTACCATCAATTAATTGCTATTGGTGACTCAACAATTGCAATCCATCAATGCATCGTTACAGCACTATAACATGGAATATAACAGAAATGAAATATCACTAATATGTATGTATGTATATATATTATATTTATATATATATGGATGTATATGTATGTATCAAACATCATAACATATAAGGATAAAAGTTCACTATTCCCAAAAGAATCTGTTTCAGACTGGCTTACTTGATACTAAAAAGGTGCTTTGTGAGAACCCAAAATTGAAAATGAAAACTAAATCTAAAACTTGCTTACCAAAAACTGCTAGCAGGATATTTACTGGATATACACAGCATCTTACATACTACTTTGAAATATCTACCAGAAAGAAAATTCCAAGCACATTTGTACTTATCTGAAGAATTATGTTTAATAAATCATGAATTGAATTTTATTACAAATCATTAACATTTCAAAAGTGAAAATAGCAAAAGTCACTATGAAAGGAATGACTTGAATCATATGTGAAGGTAAAATTTTCCTGGTACTGAAGGTCATACAAAATGGACTGAATTAAAATAGTGTTTTAAACATACCTCAAAATGAAATGTCATCTCTATAATTCCATGAAGGTATCAACTTGATAATTAGCAGAACAACAACTAATTTATACATGATACAGAAAATATTCTTATGGGTCAATATTTCCTGCAACTTAACATGAGTGGAGTGGAATGACTAGCACAACAAACATCTGTCACCTAAAACATGCATATTCCTATTGGTTTTAACATAGATATTCAGACAGGCTTGAATCTATATCAGCCAGTGTGATGACAGATTTCTGCAATAAATTGTCTGACTTGTGAATGATTCATAACATGTGTTTTCTAACTAAAATTCATGGCTTGTGAGGACATTTAAAAAATATAGAGAGTAAAATTATAATGACTACTCCAACAGCTTGCAGTGATCAACCACAATATTTATAACCTAAGTATTTGATATAATATGGCGCGCTGCACACACAAATATCCTTTAATACAAATTGTCAGTGCTAGAGAATGGCCACTCTTGAGTATGCCCAGAAACAGATTCCATTTGGTGGAAAAGGCAAAATAGCTGTTAAATTTTAAAGGTATTATTTGACCCTGGTTTGTGAATAAGACATTATTGTATGCGTGAATTTGTGCCACATCAATGTTAGTGACTAAGTAAGGTTTTATGAAAGTTTTTGGCAATATTCCAGCAATATCATGGTACTGAGACCACCAAATACGGGCTTCACATATTTTCCCTAATGTGGGGAACTGAACCCAGTCTGAGGCATGACTAGTGAACCCCTTAACCACTAGGCTATCGATCGCTCCCCAAAATAAGTGAGATTTGATATGACTTATTATTTCAATATCTGGAGATATCAATCTTAATCTCTCTTAACATTACGATGCATCTGGTAGCAGGCATACCTGCAAAGGGACTACAACACAACTGGTTTAACTATGCACACTGCCTCCGTGTGTGGTGGACAGGTGCTTCAATTCTTGGTCCCGTCATACCAAAGATAGAAACCATTAATAAGTACTTGTTGTTACCATGCGTGATGATCAGGATCAAGGGGACATGGCAAGGACTGGTCAGGTCCAAACTTAGCGCTACGATGATCTCAACTCCTATACTCTAGAACAGACTTAAGTTGGTCGTAGAGTTAAGATCGCTTTGTGCAAGTGGACCCTTGTCAGTATTATGTGTCTGAGTGCAAAATTCAAGTTTACCTGAGTCCTGGGTATTGAACTGGGAGACTAAAAGTCCTAATTAGGGATGAATTTGGGGTTCGAACCTTCAACACTGGCAGAATGCGTGAGTATGGTTTTATGCTGCTTTTAGCAATAGTCTAGCAATACCATGGTTGGAGACAGCAGAAATGGGCTTCACACACTGTACCCATATGGAAAATCGAATCCAGGTGTTTGACGAGTGAACACTTTCACCACAAGGCTACCACAACACTGACAAAGCAAGGCATGCCTCTGTATACCAACTGTGGGGCCATAGATGACTGGGCCACCCTTGGAAGACAAGCCAGACAGGCTATATTAAGGAATATTTAGAAAAACACGTACAGAACTATATCTATGAGGTCTTTCATTATCTACTTATGTGCTAGACAAACAAAGCCTATGGGGGTGACATAGAAATGCAGTCAGCAAAACCAGCTAACATAAAAAGAAACCGAGGAGCAAGGAGGAAACCACTGGCAATCAGCCACTGAAAATTTGCAAAAGAGAAATTATTCATAAAGTGCAGGAATGACAGAAATGTCCTTTTTTTGGGGGGGGGGGGGGACATCAATAATACTGACATCCATCTAATAACTTATTTATTCAGCAAATTATTATCTCCATAATTCCCATAAATAATCATTGCAAAAAAACTCATTCTCCCAAGAAAACCCAAAATGGCCAGAAATGGAATATTTCTACATTTACCATGCAGGAGTATTTGTGATTCTTTTCTCCCCAATCTGGTCATCTACATGGACAAGCAAACCTTTTCACAAATTTTCCTTTTAAATTGACATTATTAATTTATAATCTAACAACATTAAACAACAAAAACTGACAATGGCTGACTTATACTATATGATGCAGACGATTGTCTAAACTGACGTTCATTCTACTTGATGAGCAGTACTTGGTGCGATAACATCAACTTTCAGCATAATTATTAATAACTATTCATGTGAATATTGTTGTATGCAAGATTGCACTTACATTTCTGCAGAGGTTACATTACAAGTCTCATGGGAAACATCCACTAGCTTGACATGATCCTATGAGCATTACACCATTTTATATTAGATATAATATTCTGAATTCATATATACACACACAATCCATATTTCATGACTCGAGACTTGAAAATGTGCTTGTGTATTACTGAAGCATGGCATGCAAGACTGATACTAACAACATCAAATAAGAGAAACGAACATATACCTATCTATCACTTTCCCATAAAATCTTCTTAAACATCTCCAAAACATGACAAAAGCACAACATCCTTCACATCACTGTGTGAACAAGCAACAATAAACCATTAGAGTGTTGTAAATATTGATTGGTTGAGTCAACGCAATAGACTGATTGATATTTACCTGAAACAGACAATTCGGAGACGTCAGTAATGTAATCGGAAATTACAAACCAAATTGTCCAGTGATTGAAATTAACATGACCATAATCCAGGTCTATTCATTAATTAAAACACGGTAAGCACAGTTTGTGATGGCGAGTATATCCCAGTTAGCTGCGTCCGCACCAAGCAGTGTGAAATGAACGAGTAACAGCTGTTGCAACAGACCTTCTGGTAGTGTTTGCATTCTCATGTGAGAAATGAACGACGAGTTTACTGTCATTAACATGCAAATAGTGTTCCACTTCATATGATGAATATGAAATAAACAGTCAATT